ATATATTTTTTCCGCAGCGGAAAATTTTCATTGTTTTATGTTTTTTTTTTTAATTTTTACAAATTATTATACTAAAAGTTAATGGGTTATAAAATTGGAATTAAAAAAATCTTATTTTAAAGCTGTATATTTTGATGAGAATTCGTAAAATTTTTCTTAACTTTGGATAAATTTTGAAACCTTGGTTTACATGATACTGTTTTAAGAATAATCCATATTTTTATAAAAATAATAACAAACAAACTTAGCTTGCAAAATATTGCGAATATTTAAGAAATAAAGGTTTTATGCAGACTTTTTCTGTTAAGTGTGCATATTTATGTATGTACATATAAAACAATGAAAATTTTGAGCCCCGGAAAAATACATTTTATTTTACTATAATTGAATGTTCTATAAAACTGCGTACCAGGAATTTTGATGTTTGATGTTTTGAGTTATACGCTTCTAGTTCAAGTATGAACAACATTTTTATAAAAAATTAACGAAAAATATTTAACATTGTTCATTTATATTTGGCCGTTAATTGAAGATTTTGTTGATTTTTTTTTGCGCTCAAGTCCGGGTTGAAATAAAACAATCTGTTTTAGTTGTTTTTAAGTCGTCTATATTTATAAACAAAAAAACAGATTGTTTTGTTTAAAACTCAAAAAAATCAACAGAAAAATATTTAATATGAAAAAAATTGGGGATATTTCAACAAAATCACTTTGTGAATAATTTCCGTGGTTGTTTATATGCATTTATAAGGTTGCAGAAATAACATAATCATATCGTTGCATATTAACGTGCTAGGATAGGTCGGTTTTTTTTCATATAATTTGGATAGGCCCAACACTTGTCTCTGAGATATGGAATTTCGAAAATAATAAAACGGATAGCAACAATTTCGGCCAGGAACTGAAGATTTAAAAAAGCTTATGAAGAGAAAATTGTTATTTTTCAGTCTTCAGTTTTTTAACGAAATCATTACAATCTGGTTTAGTGGATGGATTTGCTCGAAACTTTGTGGATACCCAAAAATACTTTTTGGTCCTATACAAATTTTTTTGAAACAAAATACAATAATTATCGACACATCAACAGTAGCAGTAAGTGCCTTCATGTACCTTTTTTGTTATTAGTGAATTGAAAATAAGTTTTGTTTCTTTTCTATACATGTACGCATGTATTTATTGTTCAATAAAATATATTGTTCTATACAAAGCGGAAGTTTATTTGTTTTACAAAAATATCGTTAGATATCGTTACCTAAATATAGAAATGCCCTATCTAACATTTGTTCGCATAGTCATTTTTAAATTTAATAAAAAGTAAAGTTCTTTAGTTTTGAATTGATTTGCAGGTACAGTTGCGGTGAAAATAAAAGCACCACTATTTACGCGCCGGCGTCTTTGGATTTTTAAGGCGCTCGCACGTAAAGAAAATAAAGTGAAAAAAAACAACAGCGTATTAGTGTTTAATGCTTAACAATAATAACAAATGTTTGATTTATTTGTTGATAAAAATGTTTAATAAAAACAGTGTGGATTGAAAATAGAGATTTTGCTAATAGCTTGATGAGATTACCTTGCTGACGCGGTGTGGTGGCTGGCTGTCGCTATGCTGGTCTTCTAGGAAGTGACGGAGTGCCAACACACGAAAAAGCGTTTGAGCCCGCCGAACAGTAACCTTCGTTGAGTTTCCCCTCAACTCAGTTACCGTACGGCGGGGCATATTGTTAACGGCTGGAATGTTAGCCGTATCTTATATATGTGTGTGTGCACTCAGATACAAAATTATTTAACGCGCATTAGGGTGGTGCAGAATATTTAGGTATGGGCCTAAACATACCGCCCCCCTTGCGATAAGCAAACTATGAAAACGGAATACGGAAGGTACCCACCATGCCACGTCAGAAAAGATAATAAGTTTGACGGTAACCACTAGAGACTGGAAGTGCTCCAGGTTGCACTTAGTTCTCGCTTGTCACACCCAGGTTGCACCGCCTCTTCCTAGATAGCTATTGGGAAATTAAAGAGAGAGTTAAAAGATAAAATGGACGTGGTTTTGATTTTCAATGCACTTTATTGCGTGTATTAACCAACTAAGCAATCTAATTTATTTTTATTTTTGGTAAGCTCCGGAAACCACTAACCCAAATATGGTTGCCTGCGCCAATAAGCCACAGACCGAAGATGGGGGGTCCCTGTTAGCATGACCTGGGCGTAGACATCGACGCCTAGAGTCAGACGGATCGGGGTAGCCCGGTAAAAATTTGGATCGGCCAACCGCATAAACTGAAATGGCGCGGCAACCGCGGGGTCGATGTCCGTTGTCGGACTCAATCGGTTGTGTTGTGCGACGATTGTCGGCTGAGTTTTTACGCGTTCCGCGACACCGTATTTTCTTCTAAGTGCGAGCGAGCATCTCCGGTTTCGTCCAGAACCTCCGTGTTCCAATTGTAGGTCCCGCGCCAGACTAGCGTCGATTACCGTGCTGGGCGCGCAGGGGTCAATTATTGCGCGGACCAGACTCGATTCGAACGATGGCGGTCGGTGAAATCGGCTGAAAAGAGCGTAAGATCGGTGTAGCCATAGTGTTGTTGTTTATGCGACCTGTTCGAAACCCCAGTCTTCGAACGGCCAGAGCCGCATTCTGCTCTTGGTTCTGCTCTTGTGGCCGGCGATATGGTGCTTTCCCAATAGTCTTAAGTCGAGACAAGCGGAAAGGACCAGTTCCCGCGCCATCACGACTCTTACCGTTGGGATATGGGGGCGGTCGGAAAGAACTAGTTTCCGAGCCCCCCGGATGCTGTGATTGGGACTGGGCAGGCTGTCTGAAGGACCCAGTTGCAGAGCTGCTCTCCCTTCGTTTCTCATGTTCGAGTGGTGGTCGGAAAGAACGGGTTTCCGAGCCGCCACTTACTTCTACTGGAGCGCCCTCAGTCGTAGCTTCGTCCATCTCTACCTCCTCGACCTGCTGAGCCCATGACTTATAAGGCTCTTCTATGTGGATGGATAAGGCACCCTGGGAACTGTTGTCATCATCCTCTATATTGCGTGCTGGCTGCCTCCAATTATCGTTGGTCTCGATATGGAGCGAAGTATGATGCTTCTCACGGCACCTGTGACATCTGTCGGCGCTAGCACAATTTTCCAGACGGTGGAATGGCGAGAGGCAGTTCGGGCAGTAGCGGTGTATCAGGATCGCTCGCAGTCGTTCTTCTGCCGTCTTACCACGGTAGATGGGGCAAAGTCTTATGCCGTGGTCTTTGTCGCACAAGCGACAGGCGACTGGAAACTCCTCCGAGCTCCTCTCAGTTGTAGAGCGCAGAGCTGAGAATCGGGTCATTCTGCAATTTGTAGTATTTGGTTGACCAAAATTCTGCTTTGCTTTGAATTTATTATGGTTGGGTGGCAAGTGCTGGGTATTCGTGCATTTGCTATCGTACATATGTATACAAATTTTACATAAAATATTTACATGCGTCTAACTCCAGCATTATAAATTCCCTATGTAGTGCCTGGTGTGGCCGTAGCGTTACTGTACTGCTATTCAGGATTTTTCTAAATGGCGCTCGTGATATTGAGCGACGTCCCAGTGTTATATTTGCGCGCTGGTGCCTTTGGAATTTAAGGTGCTAAGGTGTATATGTATGTTGAGGCATGAATATTATCTTATTTCGTGAGTTTTCATTTCTAATTCTTTATTTGTTTATATCGATGCATAAACGTAATCATTTTTAAACTTCATAATTCATTCGGGGCTAATTCAATGCCACGCAGTGTATAATTAATTCGTGGCTAATTCAATGCCACGCAGTGTATACTGACAGAATAAATCGCCAATATCGTAGAAAATGGGTGAAAACATTATTGTGGGGTTTTGTTATTAAGCACCATAGCCTCCTACCCAAAAGAAAAAAAAAATTCCCATTATTTTTCATAATGGTGGAAAACCTCACTAACCCGATTCCCAATAATTACGTATAATTGAATGGTTTTATACAGAGATGCTGTCATCAAAGAGCGTAGATTACACTTTATGCTCTGCACACTTAGAACGCGACTGACGACTGACCACACGACAATAGCGTTTTATCTGCATTATCTTTGCTCCCGTCGTCGGCTACTTGATTACAATGACTGCGCTAGCTACAACTTCTCCCGCCATATTTTATTTGACATTTGTGTTTTAAACGTATTTGGTGCGATTTCGTGAGAAAAATTTTATATTAATTTCGTTCCAATTTTCAATAAATATCTGGTAAATACGCATAAATCATTAATATTTTTCAAATCTTTCATATATATTATCATTGATTACAGGAATAATGAATAATCCCTTGCGTTTAATTCAATTTACGACTGCAATTGCTAAAATTGTACAAATTGTACATTTCGCTTATGAGGCGTACAGTGAGCTTAATAAAAACAGGAGAAGATGGTGGGTGCGTCCTGTGAATTTAACCTCCCTCCATGCAGCTTCCTTCTTTTTGATATTCTTATAATCCTCCAACTCCAAATTATAAATAATTGGACGCTTCCGAACTTCCTCAATTAATAATTCGTCGAAATCCATTTTAATTATCCAATTATTTATAAAAGCAAGGCGAATATTCAACAAGCACGCGCGAAATGTAAAGGAAAATAGAAAAACACAATGACAATTGTCCAAAAGAAGAAGAAGACAGCCTTTGTGGCTTGTCAAAATAGAATTAGATCTAATACGGCTACAGCTACAATTTTATCTATTTGTCGCGTAGCCCTGTCGTCGCCAAAATAATTATCTACATAAGAATACGTGGAAAAATAATTTGACAGCTGTGGTCCGTAGCTCGTCGTTTTCATTGTGTTCGGGCTCTTACGTTCTTTGTTGACACTTCATTGATGGGAATTGCGGCCGACGTCAATCATTTCCACAATGAACACGAGGCCAGCAACGGGGTAAGTAGTGCAATTTGTAAATAGTATTTATTAGTAAGTAATCTTTTCCATTTACCTCTTCAAAAGCCAGGAACACTGGAAATGATAAGGACTGGTAGGAAAGGAACTACAACTAGTACAAGCACAAGCAAAGTTACTTGGCTCCTATTTTGGTTGACAAACAGCAGCATGTCTATTGCACCAGTGATAATTGAGGCGACAGCCAAACACACGTCAACGCTCATCTTTATGCACGGCTTAGGTGATACCGGTCATGGATGGAGTTCAGCGTTGGCGATGATACGTCCGCCCAGCATGAAAGTAATCTGTCCAAACAGCACCCACAATGCCGGTGTCATTAAATGCCGGATTCCGTATGCCTTCTTGGTTTGATTTACGCACGCTCGAGTTTGTTAGGAAAACAGTCATCAGACCGGAGAAGCTATCGCCTGTTGCTAAGTAACGTAAAGTTACTTCCAATCTTTCGCCTACCGAAATCGCTTCTCGGAATCTTGTGCTTTGTTTTCAAATATATGGGATAAGGCCATAGTTGCCAACTTGGTGCTTTAAGCACTAGTTTTAGTGCTTTTTGAAAATTAAAACGCCAAAAAAATGGTTTAGTGCCTAGCGCCCTTTTTAGGGCTTTTTTCTGAACTCAAATTTCTCATATATAGGTCAAACATGAAATACTTAAAATGTGGCAGTACTGAATTTACAATAATCTGCCAATTTAAATGCGCTAACATGCAACATGGCCCATGATTGATAAAAAGCTGGAGTTGCAACCCGCTTTTGTTAGATCAGCTGATTTCTTCGCCTTACATGTATTTTGTTTTTGCTTTTGCTGATTCTTTTTGATTCTTTGATTTTACAGAAAAAATTCGCCCTGCACTAAATTATATTCGCGTTGAAAATGCTAGTACGCAGGTAAGTTAAGCATTTCTTTCTTTTTTTTCTAATTATGTGTACATATTTTGATTGATTATAGCCCTGTTCGCGTACGCACTATCCAGTAAATCCAGTACTAATTTTACTGGTTTTTTACTGGATGTCGTTTTCGTACGCAAAAACGTCCAAGAAACTAGCAAAAGAGAGGAAATTGAGAGAGCAAAAATGACAGTTGAACTTGCAAGTTTTACTGGATTTTTACTGGATAAATTTTTACTAGCAACTATTTGCTAGTAAGAAAAACAGCTGATGGCATGATGCTTATTGCAAATCACATTAAGAAAATAATTGTTTTTGGTGCTTTTAGAGTTGGAATTGACAAAATAAACCTATTTAAATATATAATAAGATGGAAAACACTAGTTTTCTAAGAAAATTGCATCGGAAAATAACAAATTAATCAGCTGTTCACAAAACTAGCAACTTCTTGCTGGTTTTGCGTTTTCGTACTTTCTTCCATATTTCACTCATTTTGAGTAAATATTGGCTTACTCTCCGAAATTTGGTTACTGGCAAGTTACTGGATATTTTTTGCTGGAGAATACGAAAACACAACTTATTTTAGATTAGCTGGCGCAGTGTAGTAGCGGGGACTCTTTTGCATATCTAGTAGTATCAAAAGGTTAGTGTATAACACTTTTTGATTTACAATACTAATAAGGAATAATTTTAGTCGAAAGAGAAAATTATCACCAAAAATATTGGAAACAGTGGGAGTCACACAAGGACTTGAAGCTGTGGGTGCGTCGGTACGAAGGCGATACAAGTAAAGCAAGTTTTTTATTGTAAATGCGAGATTGCTGCCAGATATGCAGATCTGATTCGTCATGCCGCGAGAAATAAACACATCAATGCCATAAGTCCGTTTAATGACAAGAAATCCAGTCAACGAAAATTAAATTTTGAACCTGCGCCAAAAACCGTAAGTGAGAAGCAAAAATCCCAGGAAGAATTTGCGTTATATGTTGCAATGCCCTGCAGTTTCCGAAACGTTGATCATTTAACAGAAATTTGCAACAATCAGTTTGCTGATAGCAGAGCAAGTGGTTTCGCATTACACCGCACGAAGTGTTCGGGAATTATTAAAAATGTGTTGGCTCCACATTTTATTGAAAAATTAATTGAAGATATTGCAGTCTGCTTTTAGTTTACTAATAGATGAAAGCACTGATATACATATCAGATACAAAACTACTAGGCGTAGTCTTACGGTATTATAGTACGAAAAACCAAAAATTTTTAACAACTTTCCTGGCATTGGCTGACTTGCCTTCTGGCATAGCAGATAGAGCGTGTTCTCAATCTATATACGTTATCAATTCAAAAACTAATTAGCATTGGGACTGATAACGCTGCAGTAATGACTGGTGCCAATAATGGCCTGTACGCTAAGTTTAAATCAAAATACAAATTAGACTCGCTGGTTTTAATACGATGCGTTTGCCACTCTTTGCAATTTGCAGTTTCATCTGCATCGAGATCTCGATTACCAAATAACTTAGAAATTCTTTTAAGAGAAACACATAATTGGTTTGCTTATTCACCTTCACGTCACAAAACATATGTCATAATACATAAACTTATCAATTATGATTCCGATAGCCCACAAAAAATTCCATTAATGGCAGATACTCATTGGTTGTCTATTGAGAAAGCAATAAAAACAATTTTAAAAATGTGCCTAGAGCTAAAAACGCTTTTTAACACACTGCCATCAGCCCAACAATGCTATTCATCTAACTTGTTAAAAGAAATGTATAATAATAATGCGAACTATATCTACCTGGTTTATTTATCTGATGTACTTGTGGATGTTCAAAGGGTAAATCTTGCATTCGAGGCAGCAAATGCTGACGAAGCAAAGCTTTTCACCGACTTATACCACCTTCTTAAAATTCTAATTACAAAGGTAACACGGCCGGGTGTCGAATTTAATTTTTTAGAAGATAGTATTGATGAAGCCGACAGTCAGTTTTGTTACATGGGATATGCGTTCGAAGAGGCTTGTCAATCCATGCAAATAAGTTCAGAAAAAAAGGAGATTTCAAAAAATTGTATTGAATTCGTCAAAATGCTAGTCAACGAGATAAGATCCAGACTTCCCAGTAATTTTAAAATGTTTAATAAAATAAAAATCATCTATATTGAAAACGTATTAACCCATTTGGAAGAGGATATACTGCCTTTAGCGAAAGAATTTGTTACAGATTCTGAGACTTTGGAGAGCAGAGATCGTGGGTGGAGAAATATTCATTTAATACAATAGAGTCATACTGGGTCTACTTCAGGATTTTGGGTTCAAGTTAAGACGTATAAAGACTCAGCTGGTCTGAATCCATTTGAAGAGTTGGCAATTTGGCAATTCGGCTCTTATCATTGCCATACTCAAATGCAGAAGTTGAGCGCGTTTTCAGCGCAATGAATACTTTTAGAAGCAAAATTCGTAACCGTTTATCACTTCTTTCAGTAAATGCATTGCTCCACATAAAAAACGGATTTAAAAGAGAAAATTGTTGTTGTGACAATTATAATATACCAGATGATGTAAATAGTCATATTAATAGCAAATGCGTTTATCAAAATTCCAAATATGACCTGAAGACAATTTTATGGCCACAAGTTGAAAACTATGAGAAAATAGACTTTGAAATTTATTTGTGATAAAACGAATACATTTGGATGTATCGATGCTATTTTGTTTACAGAATGCTTATGAATGAACAAATTTTTTGTTCTTACAGTATATCAGTCAGAAATATTGTACAAAATGTTTAGAAAATGAATTTTGATATTGAATTGTGATTTTTAGTATTAAGCTTAGTTTCTAGTTCTCAAGAAAAATTACAAGAAATATTTTCCATTGTTCCTGTTGCATGAAGAAGTACTTTGGCTTTGCTGTAAATTGTTTTGAAAAAGTCAATATACGAGCATTTGTTTCTTGAGAGCTGCAAACTGATTTAAGAAATTTTGATAAACGAAAATTTCTTTTTAATTTCTTCAGCGTTTTTTTTTTTGAATTGATCGTTTTTTGTTTGTTGAGAGCTGTATATTCTGCTTTAAAGATGTTACCTGTAGAGGCTATCGTTATGAGCAAAAAAGTTATGTATTGCTTTATACATGTAAATATTGTTTATTTTTTACTTTTGTTAAATACAAACTGTTATGAAAAAAAGTATCCTTTGATTCAAAAAAATTTAGTGCTTTTAGTGGGGTAAAACGCTTTTTTCCGTTTTGCTGCTTTTTGAAACTCAAAAGTTGGCAACACTGGGTAAGGCGCTCCACAAGGAAAACAAAATCTTGAAGAGTCACTCTCAAATTCTTTAACCGCTTTTGATCCTGCAAAACCAGCTTAGAACGCAACGTGGCATACGGTTGCCATACGTACTGATTTTATCAGTACAGTACTGATTTTACAACTCTTGTACTGTTTTTATTAATTTCTTCAATCAGTACGCTAATGTCCTGATTTTTCAAAATGTGTACTGATTTGTACTGAATTTGCTATTCAAAGAAAATACTTTAGTATTTCTTAAGGGTTTTACATAACGTTGGAGCCATGATACAAAAAATAAGGTAGTTTAATTACTACTATTTTTTGATTATAAAGCAGATTTTTGACATTTCTCCAGATGTAAACATTAAGCATAGCTTTGCCACATTGAAATTTTTTGATAGGGGAGATTTTCTTTTAAATATTTGGGAGCAAAATTTACATACAAACAATAGTAAGTTGATGTGTTCGATAATCAAATTTGAACGTTTTTCTCAAGCGTTTAAAAGATCCTTTGAATAATATCGATGTGCAGAGATGAAGAAATTAAATAACATCTAGTTTTGAAACATTTATTTATTAAAATCCGTTTTTCATTTTATTTTAAACAAAATAAATAAATTTACATAACAAAACTCTTCTTTTTTTTTTTTGTTAAATAGTCTGAAGAAGATATATTGTTAGATATTTCGTCATTGAAGCATAGTCTGAAACCACGATTCGGAGAATGTTGAATGGTCTCATTGCCCTCACAATGAAAGGAGTCACAATTCAGAATTCTCCGAAAATAAAGTACCTATAAGTAACTCTGGATACAAAACTTTCGTGGAAATCTAACGAGGAACACAAAACCTCTAAAGAATGGGCAGCATTTTCGCAATGTAAACGGGTCTTTGGATTTATACCTCTACTAGCAAATGCCTGCTTGCTTCGCGGCGCCTAATAAGATCTTTTACGTTGGGCAATACAAAAATAGCGTTTAAACGCAAAAGCGGTCTGTAAAGTAAACTTTTTTAGTTTAAATTTAAACGACTAAAGGGCGAAATCCTCCTCACAAAAAAAAAATAAAAATCATCATGAAAGTAATAAACATTTCGAATTTGCATTAATAAAATCGGTTCATAAATAGGGCTTTTATTGGGTCCGTTTTTCGCAAATGCTTTTTTTATCATGCAGGTAGCTTATACTTTGAATTTGAACGAAATCGGTTCATAAATACGACTTTTATAAATAACTCGACTCCC